GGGGGGGGGGGTCATTATGAGCAAAGGAGATGCTACTTTAGGTGGAGGAGTGAGAAAAAGCCCTACAGGGAAGGTGGCTTTTTGCTGAAACCTGAATATCAAAGAAGAGTCAGCCACGCTAAGTTCCAGAAGCACAGCATTCCAGGCGGAAAGAACAGGCTGGGGTGGGGGGGGGGGGGGGGTGCGGAACCCTGTGGCTGCAGCAGAGCAGGGGAAGGGAATGGAAGGAGGAGATCACCAAGGTGGCCTGCAGCCGCTAAGGTCGGGCTTTGTGGGCCATGAGGTGCATGAAATCTGGATTTTATTCTCCACGTGCTGAGAAGCCATTGAAGGACGTTAATGCAGGGGAGTGACATGGCTTGATTTGCAGTTCCTCTAAGGAACTGTTTTGTGAAGTTTTACGCAGTTTTATGAAGAACACAACTGAAGACAACCAGACTCTTAAATACAGAGAACAAACTGGTGGCTGCCAGGAGCAGCAGGGGGGCGGTGGGGGAGGGCGAGGAAGGGAGGGCATGGGTGAAATAGGCAAAGCAGATTAAGAGGTACAGACTTCCAGTTCATGGAGATGAAAAGTGTAACATAGAGAATATTGTCAACAGTACTGTAATAGCATTGTTTGGTGACAGATGGTGATATACTTACCGTGGTAAATGCTAAGTAATGTATAGAATTGTTGAATCAATATATTGTACACCTGAAACTAACATAACATTGTATGTTAATGACACTTAAAAGACAATGGAAGAAGGGAAGCCAGTTAGGAGGCTAATGCCGTAGTCCAGGCAAGACAGGACAATAGCTGGAGCTGAGGGAGGAGGTAGTGATAGAGAGGAGTGAATGGATCCAGACGTACTTTGGAAGTAAAGCCAAACCCACTTGCTGATGTGCAGAACGAAGGAAAGGGAGAAAGATAGATGCCCGGTTATTTTGTTTCAGGAACTGGTTGGAGGGAAAACTCAGGGAGTAACAGGTATGGAGGGACATGAGTCAGGAGCCAAAATTCCCATTTTGGCCATGTGATGTTTGTGTTGCCTGTTTGACATCTACATGGAGACACCTGATTTGTTATATGGGTTTAGAACTTGGTGAGCAGGTCAGGACTGGAGATACACATCTGGGAGTTATAGGCATTCCAATGCATTTAAAAGCACAGGGCGAGGGGCGCCTGGGTGGCGCAGTCGGTTAAGCGTCCGACTTCAGCCAGGTCACGATCTCGCAGTCCGTGAGTTCGAGCCCCGCATCGGGCTCTGGGCTGATGGCTCAGAGCCTGGAGCCTGTTTCCGATTCTGTGTCTCCCTCTCTCTCTGCCCCTCCCCCGTTCATGCTCTGTCTCTCTGTGTCCCAAAAATAAATAAACGTTGAAAAATAAAAAATAAAAAAATAAAAAATAAAACCACAGGGCGAGATGAGATCCTGGCAAGGAGTGTGGATAGAGTTGAGAAGGCAGCCGTCCCATCGCTGCCTGGGTCGCTCTGACACTTTTAGGTGTACCAGAGGCGGGGAGGAGGAACCTGAGCAGGAGTGGTCAGTCAAGGAGGGGGAAGGTGAAGTACCCAGGAGCCAAGTAAGGGATTCTTTCAAGAAGGGGGAAATCTTCGTCTGGGTCAAGTGTTGCTTAATGGTTAAATAAGACGAGGTCAGAAAAGCGACCACAGGACTCGTCAACACGGAGATAACTGGTGACCTTGACAAGTGCCATGAATGTGGAGACCCGCCCCCAGGGGGTGGAGTTGAAAATGGGACGCAAAAAAGTGAAAGGCAACGTGGGCGCCTGCAGAAGCCCCACTGAGACGAGGCTGCGACAAAAAGATGGGTGATTTGAGGGCAGGACGTTTCCCAAGGATGGAAGATGCTGATAGGAAGGGAAGGAAGACACGCGTCTGGGGAAGGAAGAGGAGATGGTGGCAGGAGCAGAGTCCTTGAAAAGGCTGGCAGCCACGGAGACTGGAACCGACAGGCAGGGTGCGGCGCTAATAGAGCGAGGAGAAGGAGCGAGCATGCGGGGGTGGGGGGTCTGTCCTGTCGGGAGGGGGGAGCTCTCCCAACTCTCTGCTGCCGCCCCCTCAGTGATGTGTGAACAGCACCTTCCTGGAGAGAGGGTTCAGGCCGGCAGGTTTGAGGGAAGGAGCAAGTCTGCAAGCATTACGGGGCAATTTGAGTCCATCTGAAAACTGATTCTTAAATATTCTAAAACTAAATTTTAGGGGTGCCCGGCTGGCTCGGTTGGAACCTGCAGTTCTTGATCTCGGGGTTGTAAATTCAATCCCCATGTTGTGTCTAGAGATTACTTACAAATAAAATCTTAAAAAAAAAAAAAAAAAAACCTAAATTTTAAAACAACTTTTTTTCTAATGTTTATTTGTTTTGAAGGAGAGAGAGCGAGAGCGCGCGCACGTTTGAGCATGCCCCGGGCAAGCTGGGGAGGAGCAGACAGGGTCTGAAGCAGGCTCCCCGCTGGCAGCACGGAGCCTGATGGGCTCCAGTTCACAAACGGCAAGATCATGACCTGAGCTGAAGTCGGTTCCTGAGTTCAAGCCCCGCATTGGGCTCTGTGCTGACAGTCCAGAGCCTGGAGCTTGCTTCGGACTCTGTGTCTCCCTCTCTCTCTTCCCCTCCCCAGTTTGCACACACTCTCTCTCTCTCTCTCTCTCTCTCTCTCTCTCTCTCTCTCTCTCTCAAAAACAAAAAAACATTAAAAAGGAAGAGAGAGAATGAGGGAGAGGATGAAGGCGGGAGAAAGTTTGTTCTCAAAATAAGATATGGTGTTCACTTTATGCAAAGTAGCTCCTGGTTGTTGACACAAGAGACCCACAACCAGCACACAGGGCACTGACCATGGAGAAGAAAATAGAGCAAGACATCGTCCTGGGCCTGAGGGTTGAAGGCCGTGCCTCCCACCCAGTAAAACGTCAGGAGTGCTTCAGCGTCTTTCCAACAGTGTCCTCAGCATATCCGCCCTCCCCAATGAAAATAACGATGATGATGTGTTTCCACATGATGTTTTCCCCAACCCTCCGCAGCACATAAGGAAAAATATTTTAAGTTAAAAGGTTCTATGCAAGTTAAAACGTCTGTGCAAGTCAGCTTCTAGACAAGCCTGATGCTGCAGCACTTACAAGTGATAGTGTCCCGAAAGCTTTCTGGAGCCACCTCTGCTCCTGAAGTTCTCCAGGAAAAACACATCACGTGGGGTCATATGCCCTGCCCCCCACAGCCTCCCTCCCTAAATACAACCCCTGTTCTCCATGCTCTCTCTTCCTAGTTTAATGGTTGCACAACATTCTACCAAATGGATGTTTATTCTGTACTTTACCCTTCCCCTGTGAGTCATGAATGTTACTTTTATAAGTGATGCCATGATAAACACCTGATAAATCACTCTTCTCATATCCTGCACTGTCTCCTTAGGAAGAGCCTCAGGGTGATATTGCTGTGTGAGGGGGCACACACAGTCTGATAGCAAAATATCTGTGACCACCTCACATTTGCCAAATTGTGGCAATTTGCTTGCCCCCTGCGATATGGGAGTATGATTATTTGACTACATTACTGCCAACGCTGGGAATCATCTTACAATTTGGGGTTTAAATGAATAATGGAACAATTACTGCCCCAGCGTTTTACTTTGAGTGAGTATTGAGTAGTCCTTATTCCCCAATGTCATGGCTATCCGTCAACTCTGAGAGTGGGTTCTCTGGGATTTGGGGCATGCTGAGATGATTCCCTCCCTCCTCTAGCCCTCAATATAGGACTCCAGTCACTGGATCTGAGCTGGAATCAGTTCCACACACGGGGAGCTGTGGCCTTGTGCAATGGTCTCCGGGTAAGTCTCTCTCTGGCAGTGGTGTGTTGAAACCAGTGAGGATGGTCAGGGTTTCGCATCCCACCATCTTGAACGTCTTCCTCATGACCCCCCTGATGAGTACACACTGAGCTCTCATCAAGTCCTTTCACGTTGGTAGCATCCCTCCCCAATTCCTGGATGTGCCTTCTTCTTTAGGATAAATCCTACTTCAGCAGGTTCACCTTGCTGGGGTCTTGGTGTCATCTTTGGGGATGCTTCAAGAGGGCAGTTTAATTAAGGGGTAAAGAATGACCAGACTCTGACTCCCCCCCACTGGGAGGGATCTGACTGAGCTCTCCCTCCTGGGACCACTGAGCACCCAGTCTGGATGGCAGCAGGGGAGAGAAACCAGGGCCTCTTGGCTGGGTGAGTCACATGCAACCTTGATGCTGGTTGTTCTTTTTCCTCCCCGGAGGCTAATGTAACCCTGCAGAAACTGGATCTCTCTATGAACGGCTTTGGGAACGAGGGGGCTACGGCCCTGGGAGAGGTCCTCAGGCTCAACAACTCCCTGGTCCACATAGACGTCAGCAGCAATGACATCAGCAACGAAGGAGTCCTCAAAATCAGCAAAGGACTGGAGGTCAATGAGAGCCTCAAAGTTCTGAAGGTAAAGTCTTTACTTAAGCTGGGGATGGGCCACTTTGTGTGTGTGTCCGTGTGCATGTGTGCACGCCCATGCTTCTGTGTGCGTCCGTGTTTCCATGGCACCCACGGGTCCACGCTTGTGTGCCTGCATCCGTGTATATATCTGTGCGTGCACACCCATGCATCTGTGTGTGTGCATCCACGCGTTTATGTGTGTTCATCTGTGTGTGTGCATCCATGTGTGTGTCTGTGCATCCTTGTGCCCATGTGTGTGTATCAGTGCGTGTCCCTGTGTCCTTGTGCGTCCACGCATCCGTGTGTGTGTATGTGTGTATCTGTGGGGGGAGGGTGGGGAGAGCAGGGTGATGGAGTTGCATATTGCTGCAGAGAATCATTGGGAAAATTCACCTTATGTTTCACATGTGCGTAGGTTCTTGACTGTCTCTCTCCTGTAAACCTAATGTCACCCTCTGCTGTCACCAGGTGCATGATGTCAACTCCTAACCGGTCTTCCTTCCTCCCCTCTGGGTCTCCTCCAGACTCTGCTTCACCCTGAAGCCAGAGTGTGTGTTTTGAGCATAAGTCTGACTTCCACCCCCCCCCCCCCATCTAGTCCCCTCCAGCTTAGACTCCCCACTCCATGGCCTCCTGTGGTGCAAATCCAGTTCTCTCACCCCGGTGTGCTGCTCCAGCCTCAGTTTACCCCATGCTCTCCCTTGTTGTCCAGCCACTGCCTCGGGGGTTTCTTTCAAGATTCTTCCTTATACTCTCATTTCAGTGACTAGTTGACTGGTCACCTCCACTGGTGTGAGAGCTTCCTGAGAGCGAACACTCTGTTTGGTCCTGCCCATTACTATTCCCCCGGGCCTAGCTTAGTGCTGGGCCTATAGGAGATGCCTGATGAATGTCAGCTAAGTGAATGAGTGGATCCACCTTTCATTTTAAGTTGATTGGCTTATAGACGCTAATGTATAACATGGCAGCTCCTGGGTTGTTGGAAAACAGAAGAAAGATGAGGACTTCCACTACCGATTCCCCTTTCTGGGGCTCCTGCCGTGAGCCAGGGGCAGACAGGTGGTTTGCTGCTGGCTCACAGCCCGACCCTCCGACGTGCGCTCCACTAGCTCCCCTGTCAGATGAGAAAGCTGAGGCTCCGTGACTTGCTCGGGTGATGTAGCTCGAGAGGCAAGGAAGTCAGCCTTGCCAGGCTTCCCCGCTGCAGTTCAAATTCCTCAAGATGTGGGGGCGATTCGGGAGGACCACAGGTGTGGGGGTGCTGGTGGAGAAGGACGGGAGTTAGAAATCAGCGATAGGGCGCCTGGGTAGCTCAGTCGGTTAAGCATCTGACTTCGGCTCATGGTGGTTTACAAGTTTGAGCCCCGCGTCAGGCTCTGTGCTGACAGCTCGGAGCCTGGAGCCTGCTTCAGATTCTCTCTCTCTCTCTCTCTCTCTCTGCCTTTCCCCCACTTATGCTCGCTCGCTCTCTCTCTCAAAAATAAATAAAAACATTTAAAAATTAAAAAAAAAAGAAAAAGAAATCAGCAACAATGAGCTGCCATCCGAGAGGACAAGCACCTTAGAGCTGCCAAAAGGAAGTCAGATTGCCAGCACTGGAGGGAGCATGGTGACTGTCTAGTGACAGTGAGAGCTGGGAACGAGGCCTGACCAGAGCAGGAGGAGGAGTAACTCAGAGAAGAGAGACTGATGCAGCCTGCCAGTGGCTCAACCTCCGTGGAACCGTGAAGCCAAGGAAAGTGCAGAGAACCTGCATCTTCCAAGATTGAAAGGTTGCCTCAACAAAATGGCAATAGGGATTTTCCCTAATTGGTGGCGGTACTGGTGACTTTAACATTTTTTTCTACCTCTTTTTGGATTTTTTCTATAATGACCATGCATCATTGTTTAAATGCTTAAACACGCTGTCCCGTGTTTAAATATACTTAAAATTTGTAAATGTTTTAAAATGAAAGAAAAAAATTTTACTGATTTATTTTTATTTTTTAAATAGGCTCCATGCCCAATGTGGGGCTCGAACTCATAACCCCAAGATCAAGAGTCACACGCTCTACTGACTGAGCCAGGCTCGCACCCCAAGAAAAAAGTTTTAAACACATCAAGTGCCACCCACCCTCCTTTCCCTACTCTTGGAAAAATAATGATGTTCCCAGGGAAGGGAGTCAAGCAAAGGATTCTAGAAGCTAAGTTTTGGCTGCCTCATCAAGAAGCCACCCGGTGGAAAGCCTTCAACAGTATTAACTAACATTCGTTTGCTGCTTACTATGTACCAAGCACTCTCTTGAATACTTTGCTTGAATTGATTTATTGGATCCTCAGAGTAGCCCTAAGTGATAGGTGCCCAGTGGCCAGGGAAATAACCCAAGGCCAGAAAGCTAGTAAGCAGAGCCACTGGGGTCTATGTTCCTTGCTGTGAACCACCACACCAAGCTTCATTGGCTCCCAGCCCCACTGGAATAATGCCTTGAGTGCTTAGCTAAGTCCACATGGTCCCTGTGATCTGGCCCAGCCCTGTTCTGTGGCCTCGTTCTTTCTGCTCCTGCTCGTGAAATGTTTGCTATTGCCCAAACACCTCTGCACCTTTGCACTTGCCTCCCCTTTGCCTTCTTTGGTGCGTCTCATTCCCTCCTCTGGTCCTAGCCCTGCTTCTTCAGACCAGAATAATCCCTATTAGTCCCGCAAGGCTTAGCTCCAGTGTCCCCTCCACTGTACCAGATGCCCCTTTCCTTGCTTCTGCAGTACCAGTGTGTACCTCTCTGTCACTGCCCTCCCCACATGTCTGATGCCATGTGCTTGTTTGCCTGTGTCCCCCTCTAGAATGTAAGCTACGTGAGGGCAGAGACCTTGTCACATCTGCCTGTGCATCCCTTAGCACTCAACCCAGCAACCGGCACATGGCAGGCCTCCAATAAATGTCTGCTGGATGGATGGATGGATGGATGGATGGATGGATGAGCAGTGAGAGGGGTAGGTGGATGGATGACTGGACAAACAGACAGGGAGACAGATGCCTACAGAGGAGTCTGGGTGGAAGATAGGGATTACAATTTGATGGGAAGAAATGGAAGCCACACTCTGAGCCAGGCTCTCCTATGGCCAGCTCATCCTCCTTCTGTCTCGCCCCTCCTCCCACAGCTTTTCCTGAACCCTGTGAGTATGGATGGGGCTACGTTACTTATCCTGTCCATCAAGAGGAACCCCAAATCCAAGATGGAGGAGATTGACATTTCTGTAAGTGATGAGATCGTGGTTGCTTGCACCAGGGAGCATGACAGGTACCACGGCCACGCTATGTTGGCAGGTGCCAACAGCTCTGTCCCCTCATGGGCCCTCACACAAATACTCCATGAAAAGGTCACTCCTTCTGGAGTACGACTTGGCCTTCTCTTGGGGTCCTTTTAATAGGAGTAGCCATTCGGTCGATAACATTGTGGTGTGAAATCATTTACCAGATCCTGATGGGTCTAAGAGCAGAAACACCAGAATCAAAGGTGAGAGGCCCGCAGAACAGAATTTGTTCACTGCCACCTTTGCTGATGGACAGCCCTGGGCCCCAGAATGGTTCCAGAATCATAGAATTTTAACTTTTTTGGTATTGATTGATTGATTGATTGATTTAGAGAGCATGCATGAGCACGTGCAAGTGGGGGAGGGGCAGAGAGAGAGGGAGAGAGAGAATCCCAGGCAGGCTTTGCACTGACAGCACAGAGCCCAATGTGGGACTCAAACTCATGAACCGTAAGATTGTGACTTGAGCCGGAGTTGGATGCTTAACTGACTGAGCCACCTAGAAGCCCCCAGAATCACAGAACTTTTAGAATCTGAGTCCTAAAACATGTAATAACTTGTATTCTTATTTCGTGACTTGGCTGACTGAGTAGAATTTGAGGGTAAGGCCCCCTGGTGGAGGAGGAAGGCCTGAGGAGGTGACTTCACTGGACCAGGTATTCTTGCCTGAATCCTCAGAGAGGTGGTAGCTGGTAAAAACAATATCCTAGACCCGCCCGCCACTTTATACGGTTTCCCCCCAAAGGGATTTTATAGGCTTCGGCTCATTTGATCCTTCTCTGGGAGGCAGGTAGAGTGCACCCATGTCCTAGAGCTGTTCAAACCACGCAAATGTATTGTCGCACCGTCCTGAAAACCAAAGCCCAAGATCAAGGTCATGGTAGAACTGGTTCCTTCAGAGGACCACGAGGAAGAATGCGTGCTGTGCTCCTGCCAGCTCCTGGTGGTTTGGTGGCAATCTGTGGTGTTCCTAGGCTTGGTGGGAGCATCGTCTTGATTTCTGTCTTTAGCTTCAAATGGCACTCTCCCCGCGTGCACGTCTGTCTCTGTATTCAAATGCCCCTTTTTATAAAGACACAGTCATATTGGATTAGGGCCCACCTTAATGACCTCATCTTAACTTGATCATCTGAAAAGACCCTATTTCCTAATAAGGTCATATTCACAGGTTCCCAAGGGTTAGAACTTCAACATCTTTTTTTTTTTTTTTTAATCTTTATTTATTTTTGAGAGAGAGACAGAGCATGAGCAGGGGAGGGACAGAGAGAGAGGGAGACCCAGAATCCGAAGCAGGCTCCAGGCTCTGAGCTGTCAGCCCAGAGCCCGATGCAGGGCTCAAACTCACAGACCACAAGATCATGACCTGAGCCGAAGTCGGACGCTTAACCGACTGAGCCACCCAGGCGCCCCAGGACTTCAGCATCTTTTTGATGGGAACACAATTCAACCCATAACGAGAACTTTCCCTCATTTTCCCATTTTACATACAAGGAAACTGAAACAGAGAGGTTGGATCACTTGCCCAGGAATACACAGCAAGTGAAAAGCACAACAAAGAGTAAAGCCGAGGCTTCTGCCTCCTACTCTAGTGCAGTGTTAAAGTCTTGTTGTGTTATTTTAAAGCCACACAAATATGACATTTTGCCAAGATTTAAAAAAAATTTTTTTTCAACGTTTATTTATTTTTGGGACAGAGAGAGACAGAGCATGAACGGGGGAGGGGCAGAGAGAGAGGGAGACACAGAATTGGAAACAGGCTCCAGGCTCTGAGCCATCAGCCCAGAGCCTGACGCGGGGCTCGAACTCACGGACCGCGAGATCGTGACCTGGCTGATGTCGGACGCTTAACCGACTGCGCCACCCAGGCGCCCCCCTGCCAAGATTTTAATGCCTTACAATTATATCAGTGATGATATTTTGAATATTTAAACCCAAACACCTTGGAACTTAAATAATAAGTAAAATTTGGACTTAGGTTTGCCACAGATTATAAAACATTAGAAAAACATACCTGCTTTTCTTTTCAGTCTGTCCCCTGGTTCAGTCTGTTTCTCCTTAGGGGGCTTCTCTCTACGCTCATCCTACAGCTCTGACCTTGTACCCCTGAGGCTGCCTTAGCTCCCACCCCACCCTGCCTCTGGGTCTCAGTTATGTGTCCAGATTTTGTTGGCATTTGCTCTCCCTCCTCACCCCCGCCCCCAGGGCAGGTTGGAAGGCGTGGAGTCAGGCACTCTCTTGGTGTCTGAGGGAACGTTAGAAATGGTGCTGTTTCGGCCCCAGATGGCACAGAAACCCACAAGCTGGGATCACACTGGCATTTTGTCACAGGTTCCCAAGGGTTAGGACTTGAACATCTACCTACCAGGACAGACAGGTCTGAATTAGCCTTTTCCTTCTCTTTTATCATCTCTCCTGATGTAACTCTAAACAGTGTTGGAATTCCTTCACTGCTTCTAGAACATCCTCTCGAATACCTACAAATCAGGATGGGGGAAGCTGTCAGCCCTTTAGCGTGAGTTTCATTATTTGAAGTGGCAGAAGATGGTCAGAACCACATCTGAGGAGTGAAGCAGGCTGACTGAACCAGTGAAGGCCCAGTTTGGTCAACCACTGCTTCATAGACCATGTCTTCTCCTGTGGCCTACAACCCAGCCCTGAGGGCACTTCCAAAAAGGGAGTTCCCAATGGGTTTTGAGCCAGGACAGGGTGGTTGGAATGAGGGCCAACACTGGTGTAGAAATGGACATTTTAGAACATTTGCCTCAGGACCAGTCTCCTAACCCCATAGCTGTGTCTCATCTGTCACATGCAGACACCGATGCTCGCCATCTAAGAGCAGAGCCGAGCTGACCGTGTGTGACACAGGCTGCTGGCACTCGACTAGGACATCTGATCACACTCATGTGCAAATTTTACAAGTCAAATCGCAAGCCCTAGGAAAGATGAACTCTCCCAGTCTAGAAGCAGCACTGCAGAACAAGCTGGAAAAGACCAAACAAAAACAAACAAACAAAAAACAAAAAACGAAAAAAAAACCTCTCTGCCTTTGGCTCGGATGGGGCGGCTGGTCTGCAGGGGGGTGGGGGATGGGCGTGGGGGTGGAGATGTTACAACAGCGGGCGATGCCTTCCTCACGATGGGTCCCCTCTCTCCCCTCCTCAGAATGTGCTGGTGTCTGAGCAGTTCGTAAAAATATTGGATGGGGTGTGTGCCATCCACCCCCAGCTGGATGTGACGTACAAGGCAGTGCAAGGCTTCTCTGCCAAGAAAGAGCTGCTCTTGTGGACAAACCCCATGAAACTGATCCAGGTGAGCCCTTGCTTTCCTCTCAGAGACCCCAAGGACCAGCGTCTCCCCTCCCCCGAAGTGTCTGCACAGTCCTTTCTGACAAGGAATGTCTTAGACATGGAATACTCCTTGTGGATGTTGGGTCCCCTCAGCACGAAGAGGGGATCTGGGATCTGGGTGAAGAGGGAGGGGCTTGGAACAGGATGGTTTCCACCAGCCAGGCTCCTCCACCTGTTAATGTGCGGCTGAAGGCAAGTCACTGTGCTCTCTGTGCCCCAGTCTCTTCACCTGGAAAATGGGCATAACGATAGGACTCACCCCGGGAGGGCTGCTGTGAAGATTCAATTCTATAACACGCAAGAAGTGCTTAGAGCAATGCCTGGCCAATAATCAGCGCCCAACAAATGCCAGCTCTTTCCAATAGCCAGTAAGGATGCCAAGACACCCCTGTGGTGAAGACAGCTGTTTGGTGGCTCCAGCTAAAGTGGGACCCTCAGATCCTTTATATCTAGTGGTGACCTGCCCCTGGCTCTAGTCTTAGATCACAGGAGGCGGGTAAAACCATGGAAATGAAAACCCAGACAATTTTAGAGCTGCCCGGGAGCTCCTCTGGTCTGACCACCTCACAGAGTAGCGCCCAGCCCAGGCTGGTGTTCCCATGCCTGGCTCTCACTGGAGGCAGAGTTGACGGGGAAGCTGGATACAGACCGCTTGCTACCTGGGGTGATACCCATGCAGATGTAGATTCTAGAGGACGTGTGCCGCTGGGGCTACCTCCTGCCCCTTTGTTGGTCTGCTCTGTGCCTCAGTTTCCAGGACTAAACAGAAGAGCCCTGCATGGCAATTATTGTTGTGTGGAAAGTTCTAGAAGGCAAGGGGGGTATCGAGTACCTTCACAAGTCAGATGACATCAGATGGAACCAAGGGGACACCTGTTTTGCAAGGGGAGGAGGATGATGCAGGGAATAGGAATGGAGATCTCGGATGGAAAGCGGGGGCCCCACCCCTGCTTAAAACAGCATAGAAATCTCTAGGGATCTCATAGGAATCTCAGATTAGAAACCGAGCCAGATATGCGATGTAAAACACAGTCCTTCCCCTCTGGGGAGAGGGGACAGGCAACAATCTGGTTGCAAAGATGGGACAGATGCAGTAACTTCTCATAGAAAGCATCTTACGATAAATAATGAATGAGTGACCAAGGCAACAAATACCATCTGAATCCAGATTAGAGGCCACTGTGGGATTAGGCAAACAGAAAGGGACACGTCCTGGGGAAGGGTCTTGAAGAGCAAGAAAGAATTCAGGTCAGTGACAGTGACAGGGAGGGAGTTCTGGGGAGAGGGTTCCCACTAGCAGAGGAGCAGAGCAGGGTGCACACAGTGTGCTTGGGAGATGGGAACAGAACCATGTGTCTCCAGCAGGAGAACCGTGTGGTACCAGGCTCCTGCAAAGCCTGGAAGTCAAGGCTACCCAGAGAGGCTGGGGCTGGATGTGGCGGTCCTCAGATTCTAGGCTCAGGGCTGGGGTTGGATTCCACAGGGAGCGGGAGCCAGCTACAGTTGCTGAGCGGTGGGTAAGGTGAATCCGGTAGGACCAAAGAGTAACCTTTCAGGCAATGGGGAGGGAAATAAACTGAAGGGGGTAAATATGAGAGTGGGAATGCTAATGAAGGCACTATGGTAGTATTCTCCATGTGCTAACTAGCATTCTAGAATGGTGCCTTGCCTGAGGATAGCAGTGGAAGTGGAGGGACAGATGTAGGAGATCCCCTAATGGAGAAGCTCCAGGATTTGGTAAATGGCTGGGCACATGGTGCATGTGGGCAAGTATGCGTGTGTGTGTGTGTGTGTGTGTGTGTGTGTGTGTGTGTGTGCTGGGAGAAGGGAGGCCTGTGATGATAGGAGCGAGCCAATGATAACTCCAAAACGTCAAGCCCAAGGGACTAAAATAAAGGTGGTGACGCTGCCATCACAGGGAGGTCTTCTGTAGCCCCACCCTCTCCACCTACCCATCCCCCCCTGGTTCCCGGAAATCCAGCCCCACAAGATTTCCCCCTGTTTCTCTGCACTAGCTCTCACTCAGCTCCAGGCCTGTGCACGTGCAGGTTCCTCTGCCTGGAACACCCTTCTTCCTGTCCTCAGTGTCGTACTCATTCCTACTCTTTCTCTAGGTCTCTATTCAAGTTCACCTCCTTGGGCCTGCCAGGTCTGGGAGCCTGGGCCACCTTTTGGCGGAAGGTGGCAGTGGAGGGTGGGGATGGGGTGGGGTGTTGTTAATAGATGTTACAAAGTCAAGTATTTGCTTCTGGTGTCTCCGGTTTCTCTCAGAGCTATGCAGACCAGCACCAAATCACGGTCATAGACTTCTTCAAGAGCTTGAACCCTAATGGAAGAATGATGATGTCTGTGGGTGACTTCCGGAAAGCTATGATACAGGTGTGCTGAACCCTAGTGGCAACAGCCAGTGTGTGGGGTGTGTGTGTGTGTGTGTGTGTGTGTGTGTGTGTGTTTAGGCCTGGGAAGGGGTAGGCAGAGAGCTCCATTGACTTTGCATGTTCCATCCACTTCTTCAGCAGGACAAGGTCCCTATGAACCCGTACCAAGTCAGGGAGCTGATAAAGAAGCTGGCTGAGAAGACAGGCATGGTGAACTTCAGGTCAGTCTAGGCCCAGCGCCCATCTTATCCTGCTTCTGCCCCAGGCAGGCCCCCAGTTCTCTATAAGGCGTCCCGGTGGTGTCTACATTTGATCAGGTGCAGCCTCCCCTGAAGCAGCTGGCCGCGCCCTCCCTGGCTTCCGAGACTGGCCCCACTGTCTGCCCTCCTCCTCAACTCCAATTCACCCTCCCAGCAGAGCTGCAGCCTCAACCGTGTGCTGTTGGCTGTGGGACCAGATTCTGGGGACACAGTGTCAAAGCCAAGTAGGAGGGGACGTAACAGAGCACGTGGGTAGGCCCTGGCGTGGTGAGAGGTCTGTGGCAGGTGCCTGGGTAGCTCAAAGAGGAGGATTACTCGGGCAAGAAGCAAGGGCGGAAGCGTGAGCCTCACGTGGCTGGGAAACTGCAGCCACTCAGCTCTGCTGTGGCCTAGGGGATGATGCCGTTGTGACTTGGGCTCAATTCCTTAAAGAGACAGGAAAGGGCCTGTGTAACAGTAAGAACTGTAAGAACACCTGTGAGCCCCTACCTTGGGCCAAGTACTCTGTGGGGCCCCAAACCTGCCCAGGTGCCTGACGCTGTCATCGCCCATATGTGGCCCAGGTGCCCGGCACTGTCATGACCCATATGTGGCCCAGGTGCCCGGTTCTGTCATCACCCATACGCAGTGAAGGATGAAGGCTCCCAACTGACCCAGCAACCTCTTGTCTTAGACACCAGTCCTTAGGGAGCTCTATCAGAGGGACCCCCCTCTGGTCCTGCCCCCCGAGCCTCCCCACCCTGTACCTCTGTTCTGTGCCCTCTTCAATACTTGCCACGGGGAGAAGCCAGGGCAAAGATAGGAAAGGCAGCCGGACCTATCTGCACACCTTGCTTCTAGGGAGGGGGCAGCTCTTCACAGGGCTCTTAGTCTCCAAGTCTTTAGAATGGGGTGTAACCACAGCACCCAAGCGGCTTTGTAAGGATAGAGTAGGGACAATGTGCCTAAGAGGCTGGCACATGTCACCCAGCAAGAGGGCTCGTTCTGAAGATGTCTCAGGCTTGCACATCCCCCACACCACGTCTCTGTCCTGAAACTCCCCACCTGCCCCCCCTAAAGTGGTGCTTGGTGTCCTTGGGAAGCTGGTGGGAAGTGCCCAGGCAGAGGCCAAGAGACCAGGTTCCAGGGCCAGCAAACCCTTCAGCTTTGCAGATGAGGTCAAGTGGCCATCAAGAGGCAATACTGGGGTCTGGGTCCCCGTGTCTTGGGAACTGAGGGGGCGGTCTCTCGTGGGCACCTCAAATTGTCCCTCAGCTCTATTCTAATTGAAGAGCAGAGCGGTCATTTTTATTGTTGCATGAATTTTGTATTTTCATTTTTGTTACGAATAATATCTACTTGTAAAAATTCTAAATCCACAGAAGTATAGCAAGAAGAAAGTGAAGGTTCTTTTTTTTATCTCTTCTCCACGGTACATGCTGCCTCCCATGAACAATCCCAGCGCACATTTCCGTGCCTTTCCCATACTTGCCATCGAGTGTGCATGTGTGCGTGCACACGTGAGTGTGTGTGGTGTCGTGGTTTAAAACGTGGGCTCTGAGGCCAGACTGCCTGAGATGCAAGCCCAGCTCCACTCCTGTGCAAGTTACCCAATCTCCGAAAGCTTCAATTTCCCCATCTGTACCGTGGAGCTAATAATAGTACCCATGGCATCGGAGCTTTTGAGGAGTAAATGGATTAATGCCTGTAAAGCATTTAGAACATTACCTGGCATGTGCTAGGCTCCGAGTACACATATGTTTTATTATACATTATTGTACCCTCACACTGACAAACACACGGTTTCTTGTTTATCCTAAATAGAATCATGCTATCACGTTCCTCTGAATTTGCTCTGCCTTCCAGTATGTCTTGGCAATCTTTCCGTGTTTGTGCATTTAGATCCATCTCAGTCTTTTTTAACTGCCGCGTGCTATTTCATAGCACAGAAGTCTCCTTATTTATCTCATTGTTAGGGACATTTAAATTATTTCCATTGTTTTGCTACTACAAATAATACTATAACCAGCATCCTTTTGTAGATGGTGTTTGCCCACACGTGTTTCTCTAACAAGGTGGAGCGGATCCAGGGCAATCGCTGGGCCAAAGGGTGTGCACATTCTAAATTTCAGTCGACTGCTAAACCCTTCCTTGCCAATGGCAAAAACCGATTCTTCTGCCCCCTCCCCGGGCGACACCAAAACTTACCCATGTTCAACCCTCCTCCTGCGATGGGTTTACAAATGATCCTGCTTGGATTTGAGTCTGCCTAAACACTCCCTTCAATCAGGCGGCATTGGCACTCAGCATTATCCCCTTACCTTTCAAACCAGTTTCCTAAAAACAGAGAAGCAGTAGCAACAAGTCTGGTCTGAAAAGAAGTCGCCGCGACGGAGAGGTCCTGGCAAGTCGATTGGTGGCATTCAGGAGGCGAAGATCTGTTCTGAAACCTCCGTAGACAAACACCAAGGCCAGACTGTGAGCAAGCCAATAAAGTCTGCCTGGGTCCCCAAGTCTCTGGGCTGCAGGTGGCGTGCCCCCGCAACTGGAGCAGCACCCTTTGGTTTTGGCGACCAGCAGGGGGCGCATCCTTGGTGGCCTTAGTAGGAGCCGGAAGACAAATTGGGAATGCAATGGCGTTGCTAGGCAGCAAGAAAAGAGCAGTTGGGGGGGGGGTGTTGGAGATCTGTGCACAAAGGCAGTCATCCTAGTAAATGTAAACTGTATCCAGGAGAGAGATTTTGGAGACGCGGGAGGCAGTGGAGAGGCAGCAGATGCTCAGGAACAAGGACGTGGGGCGGGGGGGGGGGGGGGGGGAGTGCTTTAGAAGCAAATGCTGAGGGGTCATGTGGAGAGAGCCCAGGATGGGAGACAGAGAGACCTGGCATGTAGTCATAGCCCGGTGCCACCTCGCCACCTGAGCGTGGAGCCTTACGCTTCCATCGGAAAAAAGTAGGACAGCCGAAATTAAGGCTTCCCAATCTGTTCTGGGAATCTACTGTTCTACATTTCTTTTTAAAATTCCTTGGAAGCTAAGGAGACACGAATTGCTGAGCACAAAAGCAGGGATAGTCAAGAACAGCATACGCTGAGCAGGTGCGGGGATGGGTAACTGGCGGGTTCTGATTAGCCCCGCCAGTCGTCTCTGTGGATGCACAAGGGCAGGGACTGAATCACGCATCTCTGTACCACCGCACAGTGCCTGACACATAGGAGATGCTCAATAAAGACCTATGGGGTGAACAAACACATTCACCTGGCAATTTTGGGGGGCAAGTGGTGGAAAAGTGGGAAAGTTTGGGGGTGACCAGGAACCGACCCTTTAGAGCCCTGATGTGTGACGCATGCTGAAACGGCATCTCGGAATCCAGTCACTGCCTTTGGCTTTCCCTTTGCTTCACCAGGGCTGGAGCGGAGGCTGAGGCCTCTCTGCCCATGTGGCAGAATCATTATTTGAAATAATTTATACCCCCTTCCCGCAGTGCATTTTCCCCTTTCCCTTCCTTATACAAGGTCTTAGCCCGAAGTTGAATTTCCATTAATTGGGTGACAGAGGGGCTCAGAGTCAAAATTAGGAATATAAAAGAAAGTAAAAAAATGCACTAAGGGGTTCGTGGGCTGAAACTCACATCTCTCATACTTGTCAGGGTATGTAGATTTCTTTGACTCCACAAATAAATCGAATCCCCTTAAAATCAGGAGCCGTGTCATTTCGGTTTATTATAATCTATAAATTTCCCCCACCAGGTCTCTTGTCCAGCAGCTGCTGGTGTCTGGGTGGAACCCTGAGGATTATGAAGCCAGGGGGTATCAAAAATTGTGGACTATGTTATGGATCAATAAAAACAGCAAAGTTTTCTCCAGATGCTTTTAATGCATCTCTTGCATAAAAATGAAAGGCAGCAATTTTCTGATCAAATGTTATGTTTTGTTTGGGTAGCTTTGGGGAAATTATGGAGATATAGGGAAGCTAAAATCCACACCCTCGCCACCAATCGTCCAGGCCAACCCTCAACATTACCAATCCCAAGAAAGTGAAGGACGACGGAGTCAAAACCTGCCTGCAACAGTCTGGGAACCTTCCCAAAGTTGGAGTAATTCCGACTAGTGGCCACTAGGTGTCAGGTCAGCTTCAAATTCCTGGTGAACACACTGCTTCCAGATCCTTACAGAACGCTTTGCAGCCTTTGTACTTTCTGTGATCTCCCAAACTTCTGCCCACCACCCCCCAAAAGCCCGACACATGAAATCTGAGCCCGGGAGTGTCCAGCAGCCTGACACTTGGGCAAACCTCTCCAACGCTCAATGTCCTCGTTGTGAATTGCGGTTTCTAACAGCGAACTTTGCACGCGTGCTGTGAGGCAGAAAATCAAGGGTGGGCGGGTAAAAGCTCCGTAAATATTCAGTCCCCTCCCCCAGTCAGTCCACCCTGGAGCCCGTCAAGACCACAAGAGGAGACAGTGTTTCATTTGGATAGGACTGCAGGAGGAACTCATCCTCTATCAGCTTGCCCAGTCTGGAGGCTGGTGGGCGGGAGCTGCAAGCCCAAGGTGGAGGTAGGGGAATCTTGCAAAGTAGGAGAGGCCAGCGGGTCAAAATGACCCAGAGGCATTGGACTACGTGCCCTGCACTGAAGGAGGTCAGGCTGCAAGCGAGGGAATCAGCACCTGGCTGTGCCCCTCCTAACCTGCCCTAACTCGGTGAGCGTCATGTGGTAGCTTTTTGTTCCTCACAGAAACCCGGTGCAGGAAGACTTTATTATCCTATTTTACAGTTGGGGAAACGGAAGCATGGAGAAGTTAAGCATCTCACTCAAGCTTTCTTGCTAGTAAGTGGGGAGGCGGAGATTCAGGCCCTAACAATATAGCTCTGGCTCCCTGGGGTCTTAACCACTGTGCTTCCCTGCCCCCTGCGGCTTCTGTGCAGCAGCTCCACATCCAGACCGGGGAGTTTAAATGCACTTACTCTGTCTACACTGTGTCTACAACAGAGTGAGGAACAACTAGATTGATAAGCACGCAGGAGCTGCAGGCCAGGAGGGAGGCAAAGGTGGAAGATACTGTTCTAGTGTGGCTGATTGCTGAAGGTCAGGTTGACAGGCCGTCCCCGCTCCCAGTATTGATCAGAAATTGTGCCAGGGGAGGTAGGGTGGGAGGACAGAAGGAAGCACATGGAAAGCTCTGTGCACCCGCGTCATAAAGCAGTTAAGCATACGGGTTCTGGCACCGGACATTTTGAGGTTTGAATTGTGCCTGGCTTTCCCACTTAGCAGCTCTGTGACTTTGAGCCAGTCACTCAACCTTTCTGAATCTCAGTTTCCTCACCCGTCAATAGAAATGATAATGGTCTCCCCTCCGCCACAATTTAATGAGATTGTGCTTTAATGAGATTGTGCCGGTGAAACCCAAGGCCTAGCATACAATAAGTGCTTCCTATAAGGATGACCTCATCACAGTGGCTTTCCTTTCCGAGAGGTGGGGGGAGGGGAGGCCTAGGTCCTGCAGGGCACAAGAGGGGCCACACCAAGCAGCCATCTTTGAAATATCGAAGTGCTGGGCCTTTGAAACATCATGGGAAGCATTCTCATCTCAGGGTTTGGTTTAAGGCTTGCATCAAATCAAAAGAATTCGTCCAGAATCTTAGGAATTAGAGGGAGGAGGGCGGACCAGGGACTAGCAGCGCCATGTGGACAACGCAGGGGACACGGTAAAGAGCTGGCATTTCTCTTGGCTGCTGAGGTCCGAACCCCTCTTCCTGGGCTGGGAATGCCTCACCTCCGGGGAGGGGTGGCTGTGACTTGCAGCCAGGACCTAGGATCACACCTCCACCAGACGCTCAGAACGAGAATCCAGAGCTAGCATCCCCAAAAACCAAAGGCCACAGTGAATTCTCTCTAACAGCTGCAACACGGCAGCTGGATGCGCGGCCTCAGAGCGGTGGCGAGACTGATGCGGGAAACACAGGCAAATGAAAACTTAAACTCCCTTACGACCCACAGCCCATCAACAAGTCCTTGACGTAGGCAGAGTAGAGTGACATTCGCCAGGAACTCTGCTGCCTCAATGCGATACTTTGCTAAAGGCAAAAAGGCAATCTTAGCCTACTCCCCAGAATCCTCTAAGTCTACTTTAACATATAAAAATTCCTTTAGAAACTTCCTTTATCTCTCCCCCTCCCCCACCAGATATATGTTAACCGTCATCCTCCAAGCATATGGCCCACTGACAGACATCTGAAGGGCCTCACTCATGACTGTTTACTAAACAGTAATAACTGACCTTTTCCTAACAGCAGCTAGCCCCCTCAAAGTCCTGGAAACCTTGCTTCCAAAATACCTTGGAGAATTACTCTATCCCTAACCTCCTCCTGACCTGAAGGAATATATTCAGTCACCCGTCACAACCCCAGCACAGTTCTTTCTGCTCACGGGTCCTGTCCCCGTGCTTTAATAAAACCACCTTTTTGCACCAAAGACGTCTCAAGAATTATTTCCTGGCCGTCAGCTCCAAACCCCGACATTTCCACATCAGTACTGGTGGGATGGGCCAGGATACAGAACCCGCGGCTCGGCGGGGTGAGCTGCAGGGTTGCTGTGTGGCCACAGTGGCAGCTGCAGTGTCCTCGAGGGACCAGGCTGCTTTGCCAAGCGGGGGCTCTGGATTGGTTTTGTTTTGATTTGTTTTAAGCAAAAGAAAACAATGATTGGCAAGGCAAGCCTGCGACCTAAATCCTGGCTGCGGACCAGTGGCCTTGAACTACAGGAAGGGAACAGTTCTCCTTCAGGAAGCAGACATCCTGGAGGGGGAGGGGGACCAGGAGGCTGGGAGGCCCACCTTGAGGCCCAGTGGTGCCTTTAAGGAGGGTCCATGGTGTGACCCTGGGAAGACTGCTTTTGCTGTCTGGCCACCACCTTAGGGAGTCTGTGGATCAGCTGGAGGAGGGCTGACCAGCTGGCTGCCATGGTGGCCAGGATGAGTAAGACAAAATTCCTGTGTGTGTGTGTGTGTGTGTGTGTGTATGTGTACACGCATCGTAGTATAAATCAACATACCACATTTTTCTCCCAGACTGCTACCAAGCCTTAAAAACCCTTGGGGGCCACCTGCATGGCTCAGTCCGTTAAGCGTCTGGCTCTTTTTTTTTTTTTTTGTAATGTTTATTTATTTTTGAGAGAGAGACAGAGACAGAACGCAAGCAGAGGAGGGGCAGAGAGAGAGGGAGACACAGAATCCGAAGCAGGCTCCAGGCTCTGAGCTGTCAGCACAGAGCTTGACACGGGGCTTGAACTCACAAATTGCGAAATCATGACCTGGGTCGAAGTTGGACACTTAACTGACTGAGCCAACCGGGCGCCAAGCGTCAGGCTCTTGATTTCAGCTCAGATCATGATCTCAGGATTGTGGATAGAGCCTTCATGGGGCTGAGTGCTGATAGCGTGGAGTCTGCTTGGGATGCTCTCTCTGTCTCTCAGAATAAATAAACATTATCAAAAAGAAAAGAGTCTAATTTTAAAAAGTAACTAAAAAAATAATAAAAACCCTTGGAACTTCCTGAGTGGCCAGACTGTCTTTGTTATGCTAATGAGGGCTGAGTGGGCCCTTAGATCGCTCAGGGATGCTGGTAGCTGGGAAAGACCAACCTGGGAGTAGAGGTGGTTAGAGATTGAGTTCTAGTGCTCAGCCAGTGTGCAATCCTGCCTCCCTAGAGTTAACTCCAGTGGAAAGTCTGGACAGCGCCGCTCAGGGGAGTTTCCCGGGAGGTGAACACCTGGATGTCCTGGGGTGGGAGGGCATGGAAGCTCTCTGCACCCCCTTTCAGGGCTTGCCCTGTGCACACCTCCATTTGCCTGACCCTGAGCCAGATCCTTTCTAATAAAACTGTAATCATGAGTATAGCACTTTCCGCGAGTTCTGTGGATTGTTCCAGTGAGTTATCAAACCCGAGGGGGTCCTGGGAACCCCCCTCACCCCGTTGTAGCTGGCAGATCAGAAGTGCAGCTATCCCAGGGGACCGACCCCATTGCAGCTGGCATCTGAAGTAGTCTGTAGGGGACTGAGCCCTTCACCTGTGGACTCCAAAGCTCACTCTAGAGATGCTGCCCAAGGTATGATGGAAAAGGATCACGTGTATACAAATGTATGCTCACATTTGAATTATGGAGACATGGTGCGTGTACCCAAATACATCCAGGAACGGGGGGCGTTGGGTGGCTCAGTCGGTTAAGCGTCTGACTTCAGCTCAGGTCATGATTTCACAGGTCATGATCTTGCGGTTTGTGAGTTCGAGGCCCTTGTCGGCTCTGTGCTGACGGCTCAGAGCTTGGAGCCTGCTTTGGATTCTGTGTCTCACAGCTCTCTGCCCCTCCCCCGCTCATGCTCGCTCGCGCTCTCTCTCTCTCAAAAATAAACATTTAAAAAAATGTTTTAAATATGTCCATGACCAACAAGAGGGGGTCGGTGCCCAACAAGAGGGCTTACCTGTGTACTAACCCCCAGAAAGGATGAAAGCAAGAAAGGATCCTTTCTCTCAGGCATCCTAAAGGCCAAACCGGGTCACTCTCGGCTTGTACCTCTCCTGGCTGAACCTCCGATTTCCCAGCAGAGGGCGCTCCAACCTCACAAATCCTCCACCTACGAAAGCTTCCGCTCTCTAAGGTGGGGTGGGGGGTGGGGGGTCTGGGAAGAGTAGAGAAGAAGACAGGGGTCTGGACATCAGCCCAGGCCTTGGTAGAGGGTCTCACTGAGTGACGGTCTTCTCAGCTCCAGACGTTTCAGCTTCTTTAGGGGTGGAGGTGATTCCGCCTCTGCCTGCATCGCCGCCAGCAGCGGCCAGACGCTTGGGAATGGGGAGTCCAGCTTGCCTC